GCAGCATAATCAGTGTTGCCTGTCAGTGCAGCATCAATCAGTGTTGCCTGTCAGTGCAGCATAATCAGTGTTGCCTGTCAGTGCAGCATAATCAGTGTTGCCTGTCAGTGCAGCATAATCAGTGTTGCCTGTCAGTGCAGCATAATCAGTGTTGCCTGTCAGTGCAGCATAATCAGTGTTGCCTGTCAGTGCAGCATCATCAGTGTTGCCTGTCAGTGCAGCATCATCAGTGTTGCCTGTCAGTGCAGCATCATCAGTGTTGCCTGTCAGTGCAGCATCATCAGTGTTGCCTGTCAGTGCAGCATCATCAGTGTTGCCTGTCAGTGCAGCATCATCAGTGTGCCTGTCAGTGCAGCATCATCAGTGCTGCCTGTCAGTGCAGCATCATCAGTGCTGCCTGTCAGTGCAGCATCATCAGTGCTGCCTGTCAGTGCAGCATCATCAGTGCAGCATCAGCAGTGCTGCCTGTCCGTGCAGCATCATCAGTGCTGCCTGTCCGTGCAGCATCATCAGTGCTGCCTGTCCGTGCAGCATCATCAGTGCTGCCTGTCCGTGCAGCATCATCAGTGCTGCCTGTCCGTGCAGCATCATCAGTGCTGCCTGTCCGTGCAGCATCATCAGTGCTGCCTGTCCGTGCAGCATCATCATCAGTGCTGCCTGTCCGTGCAGCATCATCAGTGCTGCCTGTCCGTGCAGCATCATCAGTGCTGCCTGCCGTGCAGCATCATCAGTGCTGCCTGTCCGTGCAGCATCATCAGTGCTGCCTGTCCGTGCAGCATCATCAGTGCTGCCTGTCCGTGCAGCATCATCAGTGCTGCCTGTCCGTGCAGCATCATCAGTGCTGCCTGTCTGTGCCCCATCAGTGCTGCCTATCTGTGCAGCCTCATCAACGCACATCAGTGAAAGAGAAAAATTACCTGTTTGCAAAATTTTATAATAGAAACAAAGAAAAACTTAAAAAAAATAAATAAAAGCTCACAGCTACAGCAGTGGAGAGAGCATTACTATTTATAGAAGAACTTTTTGATACTTTTTTTTTACATTAGAAGGCAAATGTGGATTAATTTCTCTCCATGTAATACAGAAGATGTTACTTCATTGTTTTGGTGGTAGACAGCAGTTGAAAGACCGACACATAATTGGGTTCTGGCAACCACATCTGACTCCTGAGCCACTGGCACTCTTAGTTTTATATGTGCATCACTGGTTCCATGGACACTAAAGAAAGAGGCTAAATAATTACCTTATAGTGATATAAAGTTCAGACTTGGGTCTGGTTCTGAGGAGGCATCCCGTAGTAAGTCCTCTAGCTCAGTATCACTGAAGGTTCCAAGAGAATCTGTGTAAAAATGAAATGAGGGGGATTAGCATTTCAGCTATACACATTTAGGCTCTAGTATCAGATCTTATGTCCTCAAATGTCTTCACTCTGGAAAAAAAAAAATATTAAAAACAAATTCTGTAGCTCCTGACTTTATAAAAAGACATGTGTACCTGTCCAGGAATTTTGTGCCATCCTCAGCTGGGACAGTTCTTCACTAGCATTTGGGTTCCCAGTGCTGGCATCCCAATTGCAGGCAGCTGGCTATGCTGCTTTTGGCTCCACAGCCAGCTTCCCACTGCACATGTGCGAGCCGCGCTGTGCTTTGCAGTCTTCCGGGACCTGTGAGATGTCTCAGAAGACTGCAGGGAAGAAGGGGGAGAGGACTAGGCCTTGGTAATCTAAGCCCCAAAACGAACGTCCGCTCTCCTCCACTTCTTTCTGCGACCCGGAAGGCAACGTGTGTGATGTCGCTTCCGGGTCACCTCTGTCACTTTCTTGGTTAGCACAGCTGAGAAGCAACGTATTGCACTGCGATCTGCATTGCAATACATTGAGTGGAGCCCAGAGGAGACATGCAGGGTGTCTCATTAAAAAGAACCTGTCACCTAAAAATCCTCACATAGGGCACTTCGTGAATTTAATTTTTTTTTAATTGCAAAAAAATATTAAAAAAATAAAGTTACACATATCCCCCCCACAAAATGTTTTTTGAGGCCCCCCCCCCCCCCCCCTCACATATACACACGTACGAATGTAAATGCACACGTCAGGGCGCCTACGCATGCAAAAGTCGATTGTGATAAACATGTTACATATTGTCACGCACGCCGGAGTGAGAGCAATAATTCTAGAACAAATCCTCCTCTCTAAAGCTAAACTGATTACCTATTAGGGACTTTTGAAGCATCGCCTATAGAAAATAAAGGGTACTAAAGTACAGGTTTGGCCTGTTGGGTATCTATTTACTCGGCACAATCTCAACTTTTATATTTTACCAAAAATGTGGGTACTTTGTGTTTTTTTGCCCTAATTTCGCTTTATAATGTTTTTTACTTAAATTTTGCATTTCCTAGACCATTCTGGTAATCTCGTGTGACATAAAAAATTGGAACTATCACTATTTTATTCTCTAGGGTGTCTGCTTTCAGAAAATATGTTTTGGGGGATTTGTGTAATCTTCAGGCCTAAAATGATTTTTAAACGTGTGCAAACTTTTTGCAAAAACAGCTCTTGCAGCGAAAGGGTTAAAGCAGAAGTTCCACTTTAAAAACTTGCAGAAATGGGACCCTACTGTCTTGATGCCAGACTAAGAAGGGGCCTAGCCATGTAAATGACTTAGGGGGCAAATGGATCAGTTGTCTCTTAACTGGAGTATTTATATATAAAATGCAAACACAGTTTGGTTTACTCTGCTGTTCCCACCTACCACCCTCTAACAGAAATCTCACTCTGAAGATATTAATTTAGATTCAGTCTCTTGGTTCTAGGGAAGGTCAATGTGAAGCTGTGATCTATAAAGGCAATCTGTACTCACAGGATACACTTTTGTTTTAGAACATCATTAAAATAACAACAATAGCTATTTTTGACAATGCAATACAAGCTTACTTGAAAAACCTCCTTTCATGTTGTGAGTTCTGATTGTCTGCTGGCCATCTCTTTCCACAATTTGCTCGATTGATTCCCTACATGCTTTGCAGCTTCTCCTCTGCGCATTCTTTTGGTATACTTTCAAATTCCTAGAACTACATATCCCATTGTGCCATGCTGCCTGCAAGCACATATGATGTGGTGTTTCTTGTGCTTGTTCTGCCTCCTGAAACACCTCCTCTCAGCACCTCTGTAGTTCAGAAGGCAGGCTCTGTGAAATGTGTGATACAGCAGTGTCTACTCACAGGGCATAGGGAATGAATGTCACAGAATTCCAAGTAGTAAATGTGTGAGATTCTTCAAAAGTAAGTTTACACACTTCAAGACTGTTCAGATTATTAGGTGTGGGTCAGTAATAATGAAAATTTTACATGGAAATGAAAATAGGATTGAAATTTTTGACCATGTTAACTCAGATCAAATGCTGTAACAATCGTTCTTCTGGTTCCTGAGTATCTAAGCACATACTGCGTTCCAGAACATTCCACAGAATTCTATAGCGCCAACTGCCAGGAGCAAAACTGGTTAATCACAATCATGGAATGAAGAGACAATGGAAAGGTTGAGTCCATTTTTCACCATTTTAACTGGTTGTCGGTGTGATTTCTATGTTGTCAGCACCTGTTAATTGATACAGGTGAGTTTAATTAAAAATTACAGGAGTATCACAAACTTGAAATGCAAATATTTCTTACAATTTTATGAAGGTGTCAAATTTTGTTCAGTCATCTTTGGAGTTTTGCATGGAATGTGTCAGATTTGGCTTTTTCTTTCTTCACTTTTTTGTGTCATACCAATACAGACAAAAATAAACATGAGAATGTCTAAACATTGCAACAATTTTCTGGGCGCAGTGGTGCATTATCTGACAGAAATTCAGGGGTGCCAATATTTTTGGCCATGACTGTATCTGGCCTCATTTGGTTTAAGAACTCCTATATGTTGCCTCACAAGCAACAATAATCACATTTAAACGTATTTTGCGTATTTTCCAGAATATGTTTAAATCTGAGGCATAGTACATTGGTGTGTTTAAAGGAAAAAGTACGGCCAAAGCTCTTTTCGCTGTACTTCTCCTGTCGATCACAGGAATGCAGTTGCTTCTGTACTCCTATGACCCGTTTTCAGCTGTCTGCTGACATCACTCAGCTGGTCCAGACTACATCCCAGAGTCTAGAGCGGCACCTGGCTCAGCCTTTCAGCGAGCCACAGAGCCTGAGCCAGCCGTTCCCTCCCCCTGCAAAGCCCAGCGCTCCAGTGAGTGCTGGGGGAGCAGAGCAGATGGCAGTGACTGACAGTCCCGCTCTCTGCTCAGAGCGGCTGCGAAAACTCAGTGACCAGCGGTCATGTGATCGCTGAGTTCTCACAGTTAGAGCCAGCATCGAACCGATGCTGCATCCACCTAGGTAAGTATAACTTGGGGGGGGGGTTTGGAGTCCTGCTGGTCTTTTAGGTTAACAACAATGCAAAATTGCAGGCACCTTAACTTTAATATCCCCCAGTAATATTCTTAATGCCCAGGTTGCTCTAATTTCTTGAAGCAAACTATACACTATGTCCCATGTTGTGCAAGATTTGATGCTACACCCCACCCTTTCCCCAAACTAAACCCAGTCCTTGCAATTTAAAACTGTCCAACTAGTCACCGAGGTTCAGAAATTGAACTGTAATGTTGGGCCTCCATGTATAACGTGCGTAATGGATCCAAAAGCTAGTTGGGAAGTCCCAACATTGTTTACACCACATAAACATTTGCACTATGGTAGTATTGTCAGTTTAGACATGCTGATGTGCTTGACAGGCACCACAAATCACCTGCATTTTGGCTGTATTGTCAGTGGAGACATGCTGATGTACTTGACATGTTCACATTAAGACAAATAATAAATGTAACACATTTTATGCATACCCTTGTTGTCACAGCTGCTTGCTGTCCTGCCCAACTCAGCCTCAAGTCCATTGGCAAGGGAAGGGACTGCTGGTGAAGTCGCTCCCGCAGGTGAGGAGCCTTTAACACCCTGGGCTGTCAATCCTCTCCTCCTGCTGTGTTTGGATTCTCTACACGGGTAACCAAAAAGATCTTGTGACCTCGACCTGGACTGGACACTGCCACCTGCTCTGGAGGGTTCTGAACAGAGTTCACTACAGGCTTTGTCTCTGCTACTGGCTTTTCCTCCTCCAATTCATCTTCTGTATCAGAATCTGAATCTGGTCCCTGAGGGTCTGGGTCAGGCGTGATCTCTTCCTCATCCTCTTTGGATGAATTATTAGTTGTGGTATCCTCAGGGGCAGTGCTACAATCTTCTGAAGGAAGGCTATTCTCCTCGGGGGCAGTATTTGAATCTTCTTCTTCAGCAGCGCTAGCAATCTCTGCCATGGACGCCGACTGCTGGAGGCGCTCTTCCTTCTCTTTGGCCAAGATAAAGTTCCGTCGGCAGCCATTTTGAATCTCAGCCAACAGGGCTTTCTGTGTTTCAATAAAGCTCTTCACCTGGAAACAAAAGTGAAATGGACAATGATACATAATCACAAAATAAACAAGAAAAATAATACTGAATATAATTAAAGGTGTTAAACATCTGCAACTAATCTATTTTGTTAAAACACATTTAGATTAGCCAGTAGATAATTTTAAAGTCTAAAGACACCTCTACTAAATCACACATCTGTTCTTGTTCTAGCAGCTTCTGTAAGATCAGCTAACTTTACTGAACCAAGTCCTGTTTCCAAAAACAGTGCCTGCTGCCTCCTGGTTCTGAAAAATCTGCTCCAGAGAGACAGGTTGTTCATTCGGATCAATGTAGACCTTCTGTCTCAAAACAGCACCCTTTAGTGTTTCCCAGGAGCAGCTGATTTACAGCCCTGATGGAAGTGTACACAAAACAAGGCCATACTGCTGGAAACAGTATTTATCTTGAGAGAAGGTAACCCATTATATCAGAGTTTCTTCACATGCTGCATAGAAATGCAGTGTTCTGTGAATGTTTGGTTATACTTTAAAAAGTATGTAATCCCAAACAACTGTTTGGTCCCTTTAGGTCTGTAAAGTAGCTGAATGAAAATGTTTAGTTACTTCTGTTTAATAAGTTTAAAAACATTTAAAAAGAATTAAAAAAATAAAGGAATCTTGTCAGCTGAACATTATCTGACTTGGAAACAATTATACATTTAGGTCTCGTTCACACCAGTGTGCAGAGATGTTAGTTTTTCTGTATGCGTTCTGCAAAGGCACAACAAAAATCACTTGGACTCTGTGTACCCTCAACAACAATACTGGTATCGCATGCAGATTTTTTGTGCGCAGGAATCTGCAACGTGTACCCATTGAAGCGCGCATGAACACTGAAGTGTATACTGATGTATTTGCAAGTGAAATCTGTGGTCACTTTCAATCAGTTTTTCTGCACGTATGGTGTGAACAAGGCCTGAATTAAGACACATTTCTGAGCAGAACCAAGGAGGGAGATTAGTATGTGCCATCAACACTCACAGTCTCTTTCTTCGGTTCTCTGTCCAGATCCAACCTAAGCAGTGACTGGTTAACACGAAGAGCCAGTGAGAGAGCCATTAAGCCTCCAGTCTTGATCTCATTCTCCCTAAGATCAAGGCGCAGGAGCCGTGGCGATTCAGCCACAAATTCTGCTACGGCCACAGCACCTGAAGACCAAATAACAAAACTATAAACACAATATAAGCAAATGTACCACAATATAACGTTTGACAGCCACCACAACTAAAAATGTTCAGATTGGGCTGCACTGCGTTGATGAGCTTAGATTCGACCAAGGCCCACCATCTGTATGGAGCATGTGCTTTCCATATTTCATTGGATTTTGACCAAGTGCTCTGCTTTCCTCCAAAACAAACTGGGAGGGTTAATTTTTTTTTGCCTACGTATAGAGTGTCAAAACGGTTTTCAGAGCACTTGACAGAGAACAGTGAATGGTACTGACAGTCCCTACATTCTTAGGTGCCAACCACAATCATCACAACAGTCTGTTGCAAGCAGGAGAAACCACTTTCTAAGTGCAATTATTGCCTGCGGATATAGCCACTAGCAATAATCAGGTTTCACCTGGCAGGGATGCCTCCCTGCCGGCAGAACACAATAGCTCTGCAGGAGGGATTCCTCCATCAACACTGACTATGTTGATGGGGGAATCGAGCAATTTTCTTTCCTGCAATCAGTGGTTGCAAGAAAGAAAACTGCATCATCTATTTGATTTAGATATTTGTGAACACAGCCAAAGCTCCAGAATTTAAATGGCTGAGTAATCTCTGAGCCAGCATCTCCCTCCAGGAAATAGATGTTTCAACAAAGATGGTTTGTTCCTTTTGGAAAGAAAAGTAAATGAAGGCATTGTCTAGGGGAGTATTGTGATCTCTGTGCGACCTAACAAATGCCTGGAAGTGCTACATTTACACAATAGTTAGCATAGATGCACTTAACATAAAATAATGTATGTGAAGCCAGGGCCACGTCACCACAGGCTCAAAACACTGCATGCCAAGAGTGCTAATTACTCTGTCACTATGCCAAGTCATGTCAATTGGATACTTTGCAAACACTGTACATTTGCTCAAAAACTGCTGGACACACTTCATGACATAACACATGACACTGGTCTTCAGCTTTGAGGCCACAATCTGAACATTACCTTCGCAGGTCAGTTTAGCAGATGCCAAGCCAAGCCGGAGGACACTTCGGTTTCCAATTAGACCATTCTTAAGATGTCGGACACCTTCATTGCCAATAGCATTGTGACCAAGATTCAAAGTTTCCAAAGTCTGAGTATGAGGCTAGAACGAAGAAGAACACAACTACTGAATTAAATGGGATATTTTTACTAGTGAAGGGTGGAGGAAAGAAGTAAATACAAAAGAAAGGTGTTACAGTCAAGGCGTCTGACTACCCTCTCCTCTGTATGCCCTCCTACTCCACACAGCTCTCTCCTCCTCTATACATTATTCCCACCCCATGTACACCTGAACACTCCAAATCTAATTTATACACCCTTCTTAAATCCCATACTGCTCCCATCTTTTTGGCAACCTCCTCCCTTCTTTCCTCTGCACACCCTATGTCTCTAAGATATCCTTCCTCTGTACAAATACAGTTGCAAGAAAAAGTATGTGAACCCCTTGGGATTACATGGAAGTTTTGCAGGAATTGGGCATAAAATGTGCTCTGAACGTCATCTAAGTCACAACAATAGAAGAACACAGTCTGCTGAACATAATACTACACAAACATTAGATGTTGCCATGGTTTAATTGCACATAACATGTAAACATTCACAGTGCAGGGAGGAAAAAGTATGTGAGGCTGTATATGCAGTCATTAAAACGCACTGTGAAGAGAGCAAAGAAACAAATGTGTTTGTGTATGCCTGCACTCAAAATATCAAGTGTTACACTATCTAAAACAAGAAAAACTTAATACTATAAAAAAAAAAAACTATAAAAAGTATCAACAAAATATTCTCTTTCAAAATATTGTGCAGCTCAGTTCACAAACGACGTGTCCATAATAATTAGTCCTAAATCCAAATAAACAAAAACAAAGTTCTTAATGTCCATCAGGTGCAATATGTGCAAAAAAATGTTAGGCAGAGCCAAGCTCTGAGTCCATTTTGACTCGCAGCCTGTGTGCACGGCTGGAGCCGGCATATTTACCTGTATATGCGCACACCTCCTTTGTGTTGGGCATGACACATGGCAATGTAGGTGAACCTATGATGGTTTTTACTAATAAATAATAGATTGTTTTACGCTGTGAAGCCTTCCTTTTTATGAGATGTTGGGAAATGGTCTGGAACTGTGAGAGCCTTGCAAGCCCATTAATGGAGTGGATCTGTTAACCCATCGTTGGCTGTTAAAGATTGCATAGTGCTCCAAAAGGATTGGAAGTAGATTGCATTGTATAGGATACCTGTTAAAAGAACCAATTTTTACTTTGCTTTTTAAGTTTAAGTCGTGTTGAAAGAGGTGAGCCACTTACTTGAGATATTATATTTATATATATAACAAAGGAACACTTTTTAATCAGAGTATAGCATCAAGTAATTTAAACTCCTGGGATATTGATCTGGTCAGTTAAGTACCAGAGGGGGTTGTTAATTTCATTAACACCAAAGCAGCTGAAAATGATTAATAGGTGCACTAGATGGGCAACAATGAGACGACCCCCAAAACAGGAATGCTTTTACAGATGGAGGCCACTGACATTTTTTTCCCTACTCATCTTTTCTGACTTTTTTTCACTAGTTTTGCATTTGGCTAGGGTCAGTCACTACTGGTAGCATGAGGCAATACCTAGACCCTACAGAGGTTGCACAGGCAGTCCGACTCTTCCACGATAGCAGATCAATATGTGCCATTGCCAGAAGGTTTGCCGTGTCTCCCACCACAATCTCAAGAGCATAGAGGAGATTCCAGGAGACAGGCAGTAACTCTTGGAGAGCTGGACAGGGCCATAGAAAGTCCTTAACCCATCAGCAGAACCGGTATGTGCTCCTTTGTGCAAGGAGGCACAGGATGAGCACTGCCAGAGCCCTACAAAATGACCTCCAGCAGGCCACTGGTGTGAACGTCTCTGACCAAACAATCAGAAACAGATTTCATGAGAGTGGCCTGAGGGCCCAACGTCCTCTACTGGGTTCTGTGCTCACTGCCCAGCACCATAGACCTCGATTGGCATTTGGAATTGAACATCAGAATTGGCAGGTCCACCACTGGCGCTCTGTGCTTTTCACAGATAAGAACAAGTTCACCCTGAGCACATGTGACAGACATGAAAGGGTCTGGAGAAGCCGTGGAGAACATTATGCTGCCTATAACATGGTTCAGCATGACTATTTTGGTGGTGGGTCAGTGATGGTCTGGGGAGGAATATCCATGGAGGGATGCACAGACATCTACAGGACACGGACACACACTATATTGCATAATCACTGGATTAAGGTGTTCTAATCACCTCCATGGCCACAGGTGTATAAAATCAAGCACCTAGGCATGCAGACGGCTTCTACAAACATTTGTGAAAGAATGGGTCGCTCTCAGGAGCTCAAGGAATTCAAGCGTGGTACTGTGATAGGTTGCCACCAGTGCAATAAGTCCATCCGTGAAATTTCCTTGCTACTAAATATTCCACAGTCAACTGTTAGTGGTATTATAACAAAGTAGAAGCAACTGGGAACAACAGCAACTCAGCCATGAAGTGGTAGGCCACATAAAATGACAGAGTGGGGTCAGTGCAGAAGCCAGTCAACAACTGTCTGCAGAGTCAGTAGCTAAAGACCTCCAAACATCACGTGGCCTTCAGATTAGCACAACATTGCGCAGAGAATTGGTTTCCATGGCTGAGCAACTGCATCCAAGCCTTACATCACCAAGTGCAATGCAAAGTGTCGGATGCAGTGGTGTAAAGCATGCCACCACTGGACTCTAGAACAGTGGAAACGTGTTCTCTGGAGTGACCAATCACGCTTCTCTGTCTGGCAATCTGATGGATGTGTCTGGGTTTGGCGGCTGTCAGGAGAACGGTACTCGCCTGACTGCACTGTGCCAAGTGTAAAGTTTGATGGAGGGGGGATAATGGTCTGGTGTTGTTTTTCAAGGGTTTGGCTTGGCCCCTTAGTTCCAGTGAAGAGAACTCTTAAGGTGTCAGCATACCAAGACATTTTGGACAATTTCATGCTCCCAACTTTGTGGGAACAGTTTGAGGACGGCCCCTTCCTGTTCCAACATGACTGCGCACCAGTGCATAAAGCAAGGTCCATAAAGACATGGATGAGAGAGTTTGGGGTGGAGGAACTTGACTGGCCTGCACAAAATCATGACTTCAACCTGATAGAACACCTTTGGAATGAATTAGAGCAGAGACTGCAAGCCAGGCCTTCTTGTCCAACATCAGTGCCTGACCTCACAAATGCACTTCTGGAAGAATGATCAAACATTCCCATAGACACACCCCTAAACCTTGTGGACAGCCTTCCCAGAAGAGTTGAAGCTGTTATAGCTGCAAAGGGTGGGCCAGTTCAATACTGAACCCTATGGACTAAGACTGGGATGCCATTAAAGTTCATGTGTGTGTAAAGGCAGCCGTCTCAATACTTTTGGCAATATTGCACCTGATGGTGGACATTAAGGACTTTATTTTTGTTTATTTGGATTTAGGACTAATTATTATGGGACACTTTGCTTGTGAGCTGAGCTGCACAACATTTTGAAAGTGAATAATTTGATACACTTTTTACAGTATTATTTTAACACTTTTTCTTGTTTTAGGAAGTGTAACACTTAAGATTTTGAGTGTGGTCATACACATATTTGTTTCTTTGTACACTCCTTCCTCTGTAGACCACACAGCTTCCAGATCCCTTTCTGTACACTACAAACCTTCCAGGTGTCCTAAATACAACAAACCTTCCACAAGGTCTTATTCTGTACACAAAATCTTCCAGTTGCCCTTCTTATGTATGCCACAAATCTTCCAGCTCCACTGCCTTGTACACCTTTTTTTAACTCGCATACCTCTCCTCTACTATGTACTTACTCCTCACAGATCTTCCAGCTTTCTTCCCTGGCACAGCACAAATCTCATACCCCCCCCCCTCCTCTGTACACCAAAAATATCCTTGCTCCCTTGTATACAATATATTCCCAACTCGCCCTCATCTGTTGGCTCTACTCTTTTGTATACCACAAGCTTCTCCATCTCTGAATACCCTTTTTCCTTGTATGGCCCCTTTGACCTAGATACACTCACCGGCCACTATATTAGGTACACCTGTTCAATTGCTAGGTAACACAAACTGCTAATCAGCCAATCACATCCATTGAGTTTCTGCCATGTGATTGACTGATTAGCAATTTATGTTACCAAGCAATTGAACAGGTGTACCTGATAAAATGGCTGGAGAGTGTATATCAGCGTCCCTCTACGTAACTTATTTACCCCTAGAATCTTCTCCTCTGTACAGGCCTCTCTACCTTGCACACAGCATATCACAATAAATCTCACCAAGCACATGCTCATGTAGACCATGCCAGCATGCGTTAGCTGATTGTTCCAGAGGACCAATGTGACCAATCCCTGGCGTTGCTCCTTCAGCCCCTCACAGATATAAGCCAGTCCTAGATGTAGAGTAAAACGTGAAATATTTTAGCCAAGCCATGCAAGCAACCAAATGTTAAAATATTTTTGGGGTAGTCTACACAGAATAAAAATACACCTCACTGACCATTAATAATTGTCTATGAAACTATTTGGAGTAGTCTACACAGAATAAAAATACACCTCACTGACCATTAATAATCGTCTATGCAACTATGTAATAAGGTAAGCCATACAGGGGCAAAAATTGTTGGGCAGCAAGAAAACTGTGCCAAGTGTACATCCCTATGTTGCATATTTTACTGCAGGTTTTACCCCTCCTAGATTGCATGCATTGTAACAGCAACCACTGTTTTTAATGCCTGGTCAGATATGATAATGAACACTTTTGACTGCAAGTGCTATAAGTTCAGGAAATAACCTCTGCACAAATAGTGCAAACAATATTCAAACTGCCTGCATTATTAATACGTAGGCTGTGAATGTCCACCTTGAACAGAGAATACACAGTTGTAGTCTGCCCAAACATTGTTTATATTTTCTTGCTTTGAGAAGAGTATAGAACTATTTACCTGTCTTATGCAACTTCAATGGACTTTTGTTTTAAGTGAAAACTCACAATATCCATTATTAAATTAAGGTGTATGTAAAGCCAAAAAGGATTAACCCCAACCACTACCACAACCCCCCCCCACATCTGTCTTAACAAGCTTGGGGAACAACTGGCAGAGGTCACAGCGAGTAACCATTCTTATTTTTCCCCAGCAGGAATCCAGGCCCGCTCGCCAGATCGTAGGGCAAGCGCGGGAGCACGCACATGGCTTTCCCAGATGCGAGCGTGTACGTAGCATGCCACACATGCGCAGTAGTGCCTCTTTTCACAGAGGCGCACGGCGAACATGCGTAGTGGCCAAAAGCTGCGGGCAGCCATCTTAGGTGGAGAATATCTTATACTGGGGCACCTGTGAGCCAGTTCAAAGTCTGGAATATTTGTGGTTGGTCCTAGATACGGGGCAGGCAAAAGAGTTCCTGCCTGTGCTCTGAGAGATCAGGTTCGAAATGGGAGGACAAAAAGATATCCATCTATAAGTCTCTGCATGATGTTGCTGGGAAATATGGTATCTGCACAGAAAGATTCTGTCTGTCTGGAACAAGAAGGACCAAGCGCTGGATTGTCACATCTCTGTTCCCCAGGGTAAGGCAGAGTTCGAATTGGTGGATGGTGTCTCGGAATCTGGAAATAGGGAAATCTTTTCTTACAGTGTTTTGGAAGATAGTAACCACGGATGACTGTCTTTTATGGCTTGGGGGCGATTCTGGAGAAAACCACAGTCCAAAAGTGGGCTCAGCCAGAGAAAAGTCTGCCCATCAATGTCTTGAAACTTCGGGTGGTTCGCTTTGTTCTGAAGTTTTAGACAATCAGGTTGCACGGATATCCAGTCAGGATCCAGTCTGACAGCGCCATGACTCTGGCTTACATCAACCACCAGTTAGGCATCAGGAGCCGGATGGCCCAGGAAGAGGTGAATCACATTCTATCTTGGGAGGAAATACATATGCAGTCTGTCAGCAGGTGTGGAGATGAGGTTGGTTTTGGGCACCATTAAGAGTCAGACTTCAGCTTTGTCCGTATTCTTTCAAAGACCTATTGCTTCGCACACTTTGTTTCAGGCTTTTTGGCAGGGGGAGATTCGGACATGTCCCTCCTGTCAAGCCACCCTTGTGCCCTTGAGGCTTAAATTTAGTGTTGGCTATCTTGCAGAAGCAGCGGTTTGAACCTTCGCAATATTCCACTAGTCTTTTTGAGTCGAAAAGTGTTTTTTTTTTTTCATTGCAATCACTTTGGCAAGAAGGGTGTCGAAGCTGGTGGCTGTTTCTTGCAAGGAGCCATTTTTAATCTTACACCATAAGGTGGTACTGCACCCTCACTCCTCCTTCTTGCCAAAAGTGGTTTCTAGCTTTCATTTGAATCAGGACATTGTCCTATCCTCTTTTTTCCGAATCCTAATTCACCAGGAGAGAAATTGCAGCATTCTTTGGATATAGTGCGAGCCGTCAGTCTATCTGGAAAAGGTGGAACAAATCAGAAGGTCGATTCCTTGTTTGTGCTACCAGAAGGGACCAGGAAAGGGCAAGCGGCGTTCAAGGAAACTATTTCTCAATGGATCCGCCAGTTAAGCATTCAAGCCTATGGTTTGAAGGGCAAGGTCCCACCCTTTCGGGTATGAGCGCACTCTACCAGATGTGTAGGAGCCTCTTAGGCAATTCACCATCAGGCATTGGTTGTTCATGTTTGCCGCTACCTAGTCTTCAGTGCATACATTCACAAAGTTCTACCAAGTGGATGTTAGAGCTGCAGAGGTTGCTGCTTTTGGTTACAGTGTGTAACGGCAGAGTAGATCCTCGGTCTGATAATGGTGTCTAGGATTGGCGTCTCCCTCCCCCTCAAATGTATTGTTTTGGGAAAATTCCAGATACTAATGACTATAGCCTGCTCTGTGCCCTGTGATGTATAATAAAGGAAAACTGTTTTTTTTCTACTTACCTGTAAAAACCATTTCTTAGAGTATGTCTTAGAGAGGTCCCTCCTCTTTTTCTGGAATTTCATTGTTTGCTACAAAACTGAGTTACTTCCTGTGCAGGAGGGGTTATATAGGGGAAAACTTGTCTGTTTTAGTCCGTCATTGTCCATTAACCTATAGGTGGCGCAAAACCTAGATAGTAATGATTATAGCCTGCTCTGTGTCCTATGATGTACTTGAAGAAAAGGATTTTACAGGTAAGTAAGCAGAAAAAAAAATCCAATTTTTATATGCAAGCTGAAGGGAGGAAGGCATAGCACAAGCATGTTCCTATTGTGTTATTAGTTCACTGCTAAACAGCAGAATCATGACGCAGATTTTGCTATGTTTCCATACCTACAATTACTCATATTGTTGCTATAAGTTACATTTAGAGCTTCACAGCATACATTAGCAATGAAAGAGGTCAAATTCAAAGTAACTCCACAAAACACAAAACTGCTGTATTGTGTATAAAATTTCTTAGTTTCACCTGCCTAACAATTTATACATTTTAAAATAGTAGGTAGTGCTTTTCTATTTGAAAACAAGATAGCAAAGGCTGGAATCATCCAGTAAAGAGACAAGTGTAGGGTAAGTGCTTTTAGAACAGAAAAGGACCCCAAAAGCTAGGTGCCTGCAGTCATTTTTCGGGTGCAATGGCTGCTGGGACTTATTAACCCCTACCTGTACCAGTAATTGTGTACTTCCTCGTTGCTAGCCAATGAAACACAGAGATGCTTCATAAGTAGTAGTGTGAAAGTACTACCGTCATAGTGACAAGCATGCAGGCAACACTCACCTGAGTCCATGATGTGATTGTTCCGCAGGTCCAGAATCTGTATACAGCTGTTGAACTTTAATACATTTCCCAGCTGAGCAGAGTCCTGCAGGCTGTTCAGGCGGTTGTCAGCGAGGTACAATTCCCGTAACACTATGTTCATCTTCAGTGCAGTGGCTTAAACAGGAGAGTAATGGGAAAATTGAGTTTCTGGTGTACAGAAAACGTGACTCAATGCTCATGGCGTAAATTAGCCTAATGTACAACAGGTCAAAGTAGATTCTCCCATTACACAGCATTATCATTGGAATTTTCATTGGAAAGCCATCAAATTTCCAAGTTCTAAAAACAATTTCTAGCTACTTAAGAATGAGATTTTTAAATGTAATTCTTCATTTTGTTCTTTTAGTTTCTCCAAATAAATTTAGTTCCTACTAAATAAATTATTTACTTTATTAAGGGAAAAGAGATGTCCAAACCTGCCTGTCCCTATGTGAAAAAGTAATTGCCCCCTTCCCCTTGCTAAAACATGAATGGACTGTGAGATTAACCACATTTTTTGGAAAGGTTAAGGTTTTAGAGTGGCCTAATCATTGTCCGGACTTAAATCCGATTAAGATGCTGTGGCATGAACTTAAAACAGGCTGTTCATGTTAGAAAACCCTTCAATGTGGCCGAATTAAAACAATTCTGCAAACAATGGGCCAAAATTCCTCCAAAGCGTTGTGAAAGACTCATTGCCAGTTATCACAAACGCTTGATTGCAGTTGTTACCGCCAAGGGTGGCACAATCAGTTATTAGATTTAGGGGGCAAATACTTTTTCACACAAGGCCAGGCAGAGTTGGTCAGCTTTTTTCCCTTAACCTCCCTAGCGGTCTGATTATGTCCATATTTCTGTGCTCAAAGCGGTACATTTTTTTGCATGGAAATATGTATTTTTTTTTTATTGTAGGCCTGTAATTTTTAGGGAATCACTCACTGAAATCTGTCCGAACAAATACTTTTTCATAGCACTGTAATGTCTGCCAGTCTTCTATTCCTAGATTTGGAATAGTTTGTATGTATACTATTTTGTTTAGTAAAAGCGCATCAATACACTAAAGAGTTTTTTAAGCTTCCTTGCTGTTTTGCAAAGTGACCTTAATTGACGCAAAGAAAACAGGATGTTAACAGACTTGTGTCCATTTACATCAGTCTACCTCTGGGTCAGTCCAGGTCCAGAAAAACTAACGAAGAACTGTCTACTTTTCAGTTTTTGTGGATTTGACCGGATGTAGCCTGATCTAAAAACGGAGGGTGGAGTCCTTCTAAACCCGGTCACAGACAGGGGTCTGCCCATATCCGCCAGGCAGAAACTGAATGAACATGGATGTGACATCTATCCCGTTTGGCTTTGATCAGCAGGGAATCTGCTCAGAGATTCCCTCCTGATTTGAGGACAACTCGGATTCATGTGAAAGGAACCTTGCTGTAAACATTCTTAGAAGTGTTATACCATAAAATGTGAAAGCACTAGACTCAATTCACAAAGTTGAAACACTGGGCTACTGTCAAAAAAAAGATACAACCATTTTCAGAGTCCAATGAGATTAAAAATTTTTAGTCAACATGGCTGAAAGTAAAGATCTTAAGAATTGTGTAAAACTATTGAATTTCGCCTCTGGTAGATTCTAGATATAAAACAAGGCAATACAGTTGAATGGAATCTCAGGATAGGTCAGGCAGGCAGCCACAAGAGGGCACTCACCCAGTAACATGAGCGGTCTCCCAGAGAGGCTGGTGTTTTCAAGGTGAAGGACGGTTAAGCTGCTACTAATGCGGAGTGCTCGAGCCACAAATGGAGCCGAATGGTCCAGCAAAGGGGTATTGCGAGCATCCAGGTACTGCAGACAGTTTGTCTGTCACATATCAAAATATACATGTTACATTAACATTTTTAAAAAAACAATATACTTCTTTTTAGTATGATCGCCTTCACAAAGCAACAAAGGTTAACATGTAATGAGCATGTATATACCTCTGTGGTAACATGTCAGTGCCTGGCTTTGGTCTACAGTGTATGTAACCAACAGACTAATAAAGAGGTTGCAGGGTTAACATAAGCATCATCTAGCAAACCCCCTTTCTAGCAAACATACATAAAATACACCATTTGAGTATACACTGTGTGGGAATCTGGTTTGGGGGTGAATTGACATTACAGTGTAATGCGTAGTTATAGCCACTTATATGGTATACTTAAAGAAAAGTGACTCTCTACAAGGAAAAGTTTTGGTCTCATGCACACTGGATGTTTTCTTTAATTCTCGTAGAAGCCTCCTCCTGGCAGCAGAGTTTTGGCTAAAAAAAGCAAACAAACTGAAACTAGTAAAAGTGTGTAACGCATTAAGACACGTCAAGTGCTTTAGGCATTAATCCTTGTCATGGGCAGAATAAATAATTTATTCCTGCCACTGAAACAAAGTAACATTCAAGCGCTAAACAAAATCTAGCAATAACACGTGTTTAGACACATTTACATGCATCAAGTGTTTTTTCTGTCAAAATTCTGCTGCTGCTGGATTCAGTGTTTTTTTTTTTCCTGCCACTAAACTCCCTGCCACTAAGCTCTCCTAAAAGTTTGTGTGCAGGTATAACATGCAGGGGTGTTTAGAAGCAGGGGAAAGAAAAAAAAAAACAAAAACCGCCAGATGCCCCTAGGGGCCGCTGTAAAACTTCCAATGTGCATGCATGAGGCCTTAGTCTTAGCGCTAAGCTCGAGACAGGCAGAATGCAGTAGAACATGTCCCCCTTTGTACTTATAGCCTTTACTTACATGGTTTTCTGTGTACTTCCTTACATGATTTTCTGTCTTCCTGAGTCACTTACACATTCTTTTTTCGTATAATCCTTCCCTGTTTACAAGAACCCCTAAACCTGGGTATGCAATATCCCACCTGAGTCAGCATACCCACACATTAGTCTGTATTGAAGTCTAACTCCAGGCAAAGTTTCTTATTCGGTTTTCAGCAAACGGGGGAAAAAAAAAAATAAACCTTTTTTGGACCCATGTCCCCCCCCATGAACTGCGTCATTGTATCCTCCTGTCACTGGTACAAGAAGCAAACATAACCTCTCTAACATGGAAAAAAACAGCAATAAAATCACTTTTATTAGCATAGCATGACTCTGAATAGAACCTCTGTCAAATGTCTGTCTGTGCACCAGTTGGTGAGTTTTTTCTCTCACTTGTTTCTTCTGACAAGTTTTTAGTACAGGAAAGGAATGGGGACATGCATATTAATAAAAACATTGCATAGGTACTAACCCCTCTATTCTAAACATATACAATTTTGTAATAAAATACAGGTGTCTGTGGGCATCCTGAGGTGTCTGCTGTCAGGAAAATAGTTCTCATTAGTACCATATACATAAGAGGTTTATTGTAACAGAATCACCAATACTTGTGAGACAATTGACATAAAATGCAGTCCCTTTCATTCCATATACACAAAGGGTTAACCAAAATTCACATATATAAACGTTTCACTTTAAACATACACCTACCTTGCGCATCATGTGTGCAGCAGCTTGCCATCCCCGAGTGCCAATGTGCTTATTAAAGGAAATGTTGAGATGTGTCGCTGATTCATAATACTCAATCATGTCAAATAAAGCAGAAGCACCCTGCAAACAACAGAAAAGGAAAAGTGACATATTTATACAGACCAAGGAAAACACTTTAGCCTTCAGGCTCTATCAGATGGGTGACTAGGGGGCAGTAAGAATGGGCAGCTGAACCTGGAGACTTGTAAAAAAATCACCCATTAAATACAAAGCAGCTGTACTACAACCGCATGCAATGCAAGCAACTGTGACACAGTATTACGGCATTACAGGGTTAAATCACGAGGTGAGAAGGAGATATGACACCTCTTCACCACCTACTAAATGCCCTCTGAAAAACAATCAGAACATGGATCACTCTTCAGAGGGCACCACAGATATGAAGTGCCCATATTGAAATCATGGACATTATTTCACAAAGAGGATCTGCTGCGTCACTCAGTATAACTGACTAATACGTTTATCTGTTTCCTCATAAATGAAGAGCAGCCAACGTGCAAACCTAGTACATATTAACATTCAGCCCTATATACTACAACCCAGGTCCTCAGTTATCAAAAATTACAAATGCAGCAGGACAACATAAATTGCTACCAAAGCACCATGACGGATGAGTTTTCCCTGGCTTAGAATTAACAAGACTACAGCAGGCTGAGAAAAGAAAGGGGATGCTTAAGTTGAATGCACATGGCCGCTACATACATAAAGCTATGCAATATTATAATGGTCATCTGTCAGCAATCCACTCACTCTGTCAGCCAAGACTAAGGCAGCCCACTCATTCATTTTTTGTTATTCATCCAGCAGAAAATGCCTCGATTCTCCAATCCACACATTCAATATGGATGAGCGAATCCCTCCCGCTGTGGTATTGTATACGGACAGCCAGGAGCCTTCCCCACCATTAGAATACAATAATCAGTGTTGCCTGATATAGCCGGCAGCACTGATCGTTCAAGAAGAACCCAACAGGCTTGGTTGTAGACAAGTTAATCGATAGATTGGACTACAAACACATGCAACTCACAGCATCTGGTTTACAGACTATACTGTGCACATTTAAGCTAAGATATCATTTCCAAATATCCATCACTATTGTGGTGGACATAACTGCAGTGAAGTTTTCTGGTTCCACCTGATTCCCATCAACAGCCAGTGCACAGCAGGATGAAAAAGAAGCATGGATATTCACATGACCCACTTTCTTTCCTCCAATTGCATTGGAGAAAACCTCATAAAATTGTTAAAATAAAGGCAATCTGCTGCACATCAGGCATATAGTGTCTGATAACCGTCAGGGTCCACTCACACCAGATGCGGTGGGACTACGCTAAATGGTTATTCCAACACAGTCCCACCGCATTACAAGGCAAAATGCCTTATCTTCTGTGTGCCCGATTCACACCACTGTGTTGCGGTGGAGTGCGGGCACCGCGCACTGAAAAAAAAAGTAGCGAGTGGACTACTTTTCTTCAGCTCACTTCATATAAAAAAAAAAAAAAATACAAAACAAACACGGAGCGGTACAGAGTGGCGATTCCCACCAGATACTACATTATAAAGCGATGGCTGGTGTGAATGGACCGGCAAACCAGTGATAAGAAATCCTTGTAAACAACTATTTTCACTTTTTTTTTTTTTTTTAGAAAGCAGCTCTCATTTAAGATGCAGTCAGGAAGCAGACACCAGCAGTAAATAAGCTTAAAGCAAGCCCTCACTGACCTCTGTAGATGCAGACACTGTAGTGTAATTAGTCATCAACATTCACAACAGAGGCACTGAAGTCATTCAAGCTGTCCTCTTAGCACCTCAGCTCACTCTGTTGCCCTTTCACAGAGTACCAGCTCTGTGTTTATATCAGAGATTGAAAATCTGCTTTGTCACTGCTGGAAAGAGGGAGCATGATGAGCTTTTGCTGCAAACCTCAAAGATTCATTTTTTGCTTGTTAAGACTATGTAAGCACCCAACTGGCCATAGCCTTGCTACAAAGTAAATTTAAAGCAGGATAAGGAGGGGAGAAGGGGCACCCACAGTGAACCAGGTTTGCAGGCACCCAGAGGAGCCTGCTGTGTGCTGTATCGCTAAGTTAGGTAACTCTTTACTGCTTTACACTTGCAGTTCACTTCAAGGTTAATTAGGGCTTACATCTTCATCTAGGTTGGTCTGTTCCAGATCTACCATCTTAAATTGCACACGTTTGAAGATTTCCTCCAGAGCTTCACAAGCCTTGTGATCCAGCTTCTCTCCTGAAGAATGAAAAGCAAATTATTCCAAAGCCACGAACATACAAATAAGCATTTAATTAGCAAAAATGGGCATATCAAGTACTGAAGACATCACGGTTAACAATGAGGTTTTCTACCTTTGAGATCCAGGCTCTCAACTCTCCCTGAAAGATCAGTTAGCTCCTAAAAAAATATAAATAAATAAAATGTATAAAAATCCAAACAGCATTATTACATTTCCACTATATAAACCAACAATTTCTGACTTCAGAACAAATATGATGATTCCTAGCCAGAAGTTGTAGTTTACGCTTTTTTCTTTACACCGTTTTCTATTTTGCTGTTAAAACCATGTTTGTTTTACTTTGGTCTGCTCAGCTCTCTAAATGATTGATCTTTAAAAATATAAGAAAAATATAAGAAAGGAAAAAAAAAAAAATCACACAAACAGCTGTGAAGTTTTAATGTCAGACACAATGACCTGGATCCAAGGTAACTAATGAAGGCTATTATTGCATGTTGCTATGGAAAGTGACATATAATCTTATGTTAACATAAGGTGCAGTATAATCACAGAACTCTGTTCAAACATTTTGGAAGTACAGTGCTTACACAAAAATCCTCATTCTAGCAGCAATCTGCATTACCATCATTTTAGTGGCATACTGCATTATCATCACACTGCAGGAGGATGCAAGTAAACAGAGGGACTTACTTGTAGCTGTCGGATAAGTTTTGGAATTTGTTTGCAGTTGAGTTTCTGGCAGGCTTGTGTATAGGATGTGATGACATCCTCCACAGTGACATTCTGAGCTGAAGGAACAAATAGAACTTTTGTCACATTCTCTAACATTATCTAGTAAAAGGAGCTACAGAAACATAACACACAGCAAGGTTATTAAAAACCTCTTAAAAGTACACATTTGGCTGTAGATCAAAAAATATTTACCAATTTTTGACCAAGTACTAGAATATAATAGAGGAAATATGTCCCCCAATACCAAGAGGTCTTGACTTAAAAAAATAAATAAATAGTACAAGCACCCAATTTTTCTCACACCAAAAAAACAACTTAAAAGTAACAACTGCAGATGTCCGCTGGGGTATGAACAGAATGAAGCATAGTCAATTAACATTTAAAAGATCCCTGCACACTGGTGAGTATATTCACCTGCCAACCTCTTACAGCTCTTTGGGCAAATATGTCCCATTCACAGAGAGATACTGACTGGTTTATTCTTTAACCTACCTTTGCAGCATAACCCAGTACCCGAATAGGATTTTTGACTTGGCTATAAAATCCTTTTGCAGTACAGAACACTGTAGGATCTCTAGTCATAACAATGAGTTATAGGCAGCCATCATCAGGTGACTGGCGAAAAAAAAAAAAACCTGCAGGAATTTCCCCTCCATCACCACCCCCAGCTAGCCTCAGCTGTGTAACAAGCAATAGGGAGATTACAAAGAACAGACAGTAGGAACCTGTACTGTACTTAAAGAAATAAATGTTACCGGTAAGTCAAAAAATCCTATTTTCTTAATCATACAGTGCACAGGGTCTCTAGGTATAACCATATGATGTCCCAAAGCCAATCAACTAAGAGGTGGGCAACACAAAAAAAAAACACTAACAAGCCCACATAAAAAGGAGGGGGGGGGGGGGGCTCACCAGAGCTCAGAGAACAGCTTGTGGCGGAGACCTAAACATTTACCTCATAAAACCTAAACGTGTTAACAGAAGACCAAGCATTGCAAATCTGAAGCAGATGCCAGATACTGAAAAGCCTATGAATCCCTAAAGAATCTAGTAGATTGCACTTTAACAAGGAATGAAGGGATCTTATCCTTTAGGGCTATAGGCTTGAATGATAACCTGTCTAATGCACCAAGCACTGGTGGAGCAAGAGGCAAGGAGCCTCTGCAAGAGTTCCCTGGGAGGAAAAACTGTGAATACGATTGCTTAAAAAGGAGGTTGCAGCTGAGTAGACCCTTCATAGCATGTTCTACATCCAGACAGTGGAAAGAAATTCCCGTTTCAGAGCAGGATAAAGGCAGGGAAGAACATCATCATCCTGGTTAAGATGAAAGAAGTAGGCCTTCCAAGTGTGGTAGTAAACTTTGCAAGAGGCTGACTTCCTAGTTTTCTAGAGCGTTGGGATAACCAAGGTCAAAAGTCCCCTATCACCCAGGAGCCCAGCTTCAAAAGCCATGCTGTTAAAGACAGCAACCAAGAAAGATAGTGAATAGGTTGTTTGGATAAAAAGTTTGGAGGATCTGAGGCAGCTCACCTGCCAATTTTTTGCATCTGGGATGTGAACAGCTAGGGCAGGAGCCCAAGACAGAGTCTTCTGCTTCCCTTTGAGTGATGCCACTTCTGGTGCCTCCCTGTTGGTCGATGTATTTGTCCATCTGGATTCTGGTCAGGTGGCCTTGCAGCTGAGAGGTCCATTGTTTGAAACAACCTAATTGCCCACAGTTCTGAGACATTAATGGGAAGTTGAACTTTCTTTGACAAATAAATGCAAGCACCAAGCACATATCCAGGACCCCACCACAGCCAAACAGTCATGCATCTGTCGTAAGAACGGTCCATGTGGTTTTTTTTTTTTTTTAAAAAAAAAGGCCAATTCCAGTGTCAGAATGGAAAGCCATCAAGTCAGGTCAAGTGCACAGGGCAATGCAGAGACTGAGTCTATTTGTCCCACGCAGCCACTTTCGTGAGGACCTTATGCTCTATGGACAGGCCAAAGTTAAAGGACAACAAGCTGGTATTTGTGTGTGCCTGTTGCAAACCACAGATAGCACTGATGAGGTGGAAAAATGGAGATGTGTAAGTAATTATCTATGATATCAACAGAGGTCAGCAGATCCCGTTACAAGGGAGACAATCGCTGACTGGACTTCAGGACTCTTAAAGTGATTGTAAAGGTTGTTTAAAAAAATAAAACACCATGTTGTTATACTTACCTGCTCTGTGCAATGGTTTTGCATAGGAGCAGCCCAGATTCTCCTCTTCTAGGGTCTTCCGCTGGAGCTCCTGGCCTGTCTTCGGAGTGCCCCCATAACAAGAGTTTTCTATGAGGGCACTCGTGTGGGCTCGATCTCGAACCACACTGTGTGGGAGTCTATTGACACACAGTGCGGCCTGGCCCCACCCCCACGGGTTTGATTGACAGCCAATGGCTCCCACTTCTCTCACTGACTTCAGGGAGGAGGGAGAAAGCAGCGCTGCTGCTCTCAGGCACAGTGCTAGATTGAAATTGGGCTTAAGTATTTATGGTGGGGGAAGCTGCACCTAAAATGTTTTTTTTACCTTGATGCAGAGAATAAATTAAGGTAAAAAAAACAAACAAAAAAAACCTTTAGCCTTTAAAAACAACCACTTTAAAAACAGGTTAAGGGTCTTGAGATCAAGAATGGGGCAAATTCATCTATTCATCATGGAAACAGGGAATAGGTTGAATTAAAACCTTTGAAAACACTCAAAGTTTGAAACGGGTAATAATCTGTGCAAGAAGCTGCTGAACAGTAGTGTGTAGACCAGCCTGTGTTTGCAGAAAAGATGGCAAATTTGAAAGAATGAAGTGTGGGGGGGGAAGAGCACAGTTTGGAACTCTGGTTTTGTAGCCCCTGGATACTACAATCGGAACTCAAGCATATGAGATTGCATGGCACCAGATAGCCAACTTGGACAAGTGGAGGGTGGGGGCATGCCTTTATTCTGAACAGAAAAGGCTACCAGGCTTGTCAGAGTTCGATTGCTTCTGACAAAACCGCGCCTCAGGTATTGCCTTAAAGCCTTAAAAAGCAAAAGTAACTTTTACTAGATATGGAAGCAGATGGCTTACTTTTAGGAACACAAACCTTTTTTGGGGGTAGGAGGGTACTCTTACCACTAGCGATTTCCTTGGTGTACTTTTCTAACAAGGAACCTATCAGGCGTTCCCATTCAAAGCGCATCCCTCAAGGAATTTCTAAAAATGGAGGTTCAACTAGCATTTTAACCAGAGGATCCTCTGCACGTGAACAGAAAGGGACGCTCATCCTGAAAAGTTGGTGAAGTGTATCGGACAAGGCTGTATAGGGTCACAGGCAAAAATTTCAGATGGTGGATGACAAAAGGATCTGTTAAGATGCAACCTGGACAAACGAGTCTTACAAACTGACATGGGTGCAACAGCAGTTGCATAGCAGGACCAGTGAGGGTGGACAAGACCTTAAAAGAGTGCTTATAGCCTCATGTCTAAAGGCGTCCTTAAAACCAGGAACACGCCCAACAAGGCCTGTTAAAGTTTTGTTATGGTACCAAATGGCTGGGTCTAAGACATAGACAGACAAGATTTTCAGGAACCTCTCCTCAATAGGATATCGATGAGCAAAGTGTTTAGGAAGACCTCATCAAAAAGGACTGTCAAATTAATCAGGAACTCCATTCAGATCGTTTCTTACATTTTACTATCTTGCATCTATCTCTATCTGTGTCACCAGTCTTTTATTAGGGTCATTCATGCTGTTTTGTACTGTAGTTTGAAAAGCATGGCATCCTTATTTTTGATGCCTTGTCCCCTGGCAAAACTTCTTTGTCAGTGCAGCATCTGCATGGGAAAAGGCAGAGATGAAATGCAGAAGAGGAAGCCAAGAGTACACAAATTCTACTTATTAAGTCAGACATAGTACTAGAGAATTCCTCCCTAGTCAAAAAAGGAGGATGTGTGTGCTTCTGAGAGGTGGAGAATTAAAACAAGAGTGACTGGGGCCCTTTAGAGAGACAATCCCCCCAACTAAGTTGCCACCGAAGTCTGAGCGGACAAGGCTTCCTGAACCCAAACACGGCCCTTGCAATCTGCCATGTGCAGTACTCTGTGTCCTCAAAATGGGTACTCACGGCCTCGAATGCAAAGAGGAGACACCTTTCTGAGCCAGGCACTATAGGCCTAGTAACCCAGGTGGCAGCCT